CCAGGGCTGGGCCAAGCCAAAGCCAGGAGCCAGGAGCTTTTTCCAGGTCTCCCACCTGGGTGGCAGTGGCCTAAGTACTTGGGCCATCCTCTGCTGCTTTTCCAGGAGCATTAGCAAGGAGCTAGATCAAAAGTGAAGTAGCTGGGAATCAAACCGGTACCCATATGGGATGCCAGTGTTGCAGGCAGTGGATTAACCCACTGTACCACTGTGCCGGCCCCTTCATGAGATTTTTGCCATTGGGATTCCCTGTGTTGTCCAGTCCAATGAATACATTGGGAGTCTGAGAAGCTATTGACCAGGGCTGGCGCTGTTGCATAGTGGGTAAAGCCACCACCTACAGTGCCAACATCCCATATGGATGCCAGTTCGAGGCCCTGCTGCTCCATTTCCTACCCAGCTCTCTGCTATGGCCTGGGAAAGCAGTAGAAGATGGTCTAAGTCCTTTGGGCCCCTGCACCCATGTGGGAAGACCCAGAGTAGGCTCCTGTCTTCTGGCTTCAGATTGGCACAGCTCCAGCCGTTGCAGCCAGGTAGGGAGTGAACCAGCAGATGGAAGACATCTCTCTCTCTCTCTCTCTCTCTCTCTGTCTCTCTCTCTCTCTCTCTCTCTCTATATATATATATATATATGCCTCTCCTTGTCTCTGTGTAACTCTGACTTTAAAATAAATAAATAAATCTTTAAAAAAAAAAGTAGCAGCCATTGAGCTAGAACACGCTACTGCAAGGCTGGCAGCTGCAGGCCACTGCCTGTGGCTCCAGTACTGGAGGCTGGAGATGGCTACTCAGAGCCGTAAGGAGTCTGCCATGCTGGCCCCTATCCCACTTCCTGTGCTGACTATCGTCACCTCCTGGTGGGACCAACTGACTGTATTCTTGAGTGAATATTCTTTCATTCTAGAAATTTGTCCATTTTCTAGTTATCTAATTTGTTTGGCAGATAGTTGTTCATAGTATAACCATTGTTTATAGTCTATCCTTGTAATCCTGTTTATATCTGTAAGGTTGGTAGTACATCCTTGATTTTATATTTATTTTCATTTTTTACTTAGAGAGAGGGAGAGGGAGAACACCAGACAGATGGAGAGAGATCTTCCAGAAGCTGGATTGGAAGCAGAGTAGCCAGGACTTAAACCAGGCTTTTTGATAAGGGATGTGGGTGTCCCAAACAGTGAGTTAACCACTGTGCCAAACACCTGCCTCTATTTTTCAAGTCCTAATTACATTGAACTATTCTTTTTTTTTTTAGATTTATTTATTTATTTGAAAGGCAAAGTTTTAGACAGAGAAAGAGAGAGAGATGTTCTTCATCTGCTGGTTCACTCCCCAGTGACCACAACAGCTGGGATTGGGCCAGGTGGAAACCAGAGGCCAGAAACTCCATCCAAGTCTCCCATGTAAGTGTCAGGGGCTCAAGCACTTGGACCATCTTTTGCTAGGCACATTACCAGAGAGCTGAATTGGAAGTGAAGCAACTGGGACTCAAACCAATGCTCATATGGGATGTTGGCATTGCAGGTGCCAGCTAACCTGCTGTGCCACAGTGCTGACCCCTGAACTATTCTTAATTTCCTGAATATGCTATGTTATTTTTGCTTTTCACATAGTATTCGCTCTGCCCGAAGTACCAATTTCTATCAGGGCAATCGGCTTGAACGTCACCTCCTCATGAAGCTTTCCATGACTGCTTCACGCAGACTTTGAAGCTCCCATCTCTGTATTCCCATTCTACTTTACACATTCCTCCATTTAAGAATTTACCTCTTTGATTAGAATTTTCTCTCATTAAACTTCTTAAAATAATTTTTCAACCATTACTTATTGTGCATCTACTTTGTTTGCTCTCCTCTGAAAGTTGGAAAGCACTTGTTCAAAGAACAGAAGAAAGTTTGGTGTGGCCAGTGCTTAGGGAAAGAGAAAGACAGTGTACGGGATAGTGTCTGTGGGCCATGGTAAGGAGTGAAGATTTTATTTTAGATGTCAGAGAACCCACTCCTGCCTCTGTTTAGGGAATGATTTGAGGTGAGACACTCTTGGAAGTAGATGCTAGAATAAGTAGTTAGAATTTTTATTTCAGGCTGGCACTGTGGCTCAATAGGCTAATCCTCTGCCTGCGGCACCAGCATACCGGGTTCTAGTCCCGGTCAGGGCACCAGATTCTGCCCGGCTGCCCCTCTTCCAGGCCAGCTCTCTGCTGTGGCCAGGGAGTACAGTGGAGGATGGCCCAAGTGCTTGGGCCTTGCACCCTCATGGGAGACCAGGAGAAGCACCTGGCTCCTGGCTTCGGATCAGCGCGATGCGCCGGCCGCAGCGGCCATTGGAGGGTGAACCAACGGAAGGAAGACCTTTCTTTCTGTCTCTCTCTCTCACACTGTCCACTCCGCCTGTCAAAAAAAAAGTAAAAAAAAAAGAATTTTTATTTTAGATATGAATTCAGAATGGAGAAGGCCTGAGTCTGATGAACACATATGAAAAAAGAAAAAAGATTGCTTTGGCCACACACACACAAAAAAAAACCCTAAAATTTCCACGTGGTAGAAAAACATTAAAGACAAATGACAAACTGGGGAAGAAATATTTACTAGGCCCATTAACATTTGCAAGTCTCCTTAGTATAAATAAAAAGAAAAATCGTAAATAAAGTATATGAACTGAGAGTTCGCCAAGAAAAGAAAATACAGTTGACTATTAAATTTATGAAAAGATGTGTACATACAAGGGTACATCAGACACTTGTGAGAAAATAGAATTAAAACATAAAGGCACTGGGGCTGGCACTGTGGCATAGAGGTTAAGCTACCACCTGCAGCGCCAGCATTTCATATGGGCACCAGTTTGATTCCTGGCTGCTCCACTTCTGATCCAGCTCCCTGCTAATGTTCCTGGAAAAGCAACAGAAGATGGCCCAAGTCCCTGGGCCCCTGCACCCATATGGGAGACCTGGAAGAAGCTCCTGGCTTTAGCCTGGCACAGCCTTGGCCATTGTGGCCATTTGGGGAGTGAACCAACAGATGGAAGATCTCTGTCTCTCCCTCTCTGTAACTGTTTTTGAAATAAAATAAATCTCTAAAAAAGTGCATTTTGGTGCAAAGTGTTTAAAAATCCATGCATATTTTTTATGATACACATTTTCATGAACTTTTTCAAGACTCTGTATATATGGATTTCAAATTTATTTTACACCAAAATAAACAACTGTCAATTTAATTTTCCATGAACTTCCTGATGTACCCTCATATATGACACAGTATATGTATATAAAACATTTTTTTATTTATTTTAGCTGTGATGTGCTTTTAAGTGAACAAAAAGGTAGAAAGCAATCTAAGTTATGGCATACTCATATGAAAAAGGATAAAAAATCTTGTACCAATCAGGGTCCTGTGCTTCTGTGTGCATCAGCTATCTCTGGGACGAACACAAGAATTCAGAAACAGTATTTGCTTCTGGGCAAGGAAACAGTGGAAGTGGGAAGACTGTTTATTTTTCATTTTATACTCATGTATACCCTGTGCATATATTGTTAAAAAAATTGAAACAAAGGAAAATGGTAATAGTGGCATAGCCAAAGTTGATGGGGCAGGGAGGTGGGGGAAGCCAGACAGCTTCAAACTCTTTTTTTGGAGATGCTATCTACTGGATATGCTGATGAAGTAGGTGTGGGACATGAGAAAAAGAGAAGAATCAAGGATGAGTCGCAGGTTTCTGTTAAGCAACTAGGTAGGTGGAATGGAGTCTTTTTATCTGTGAGTTGGTTATCTAAGGCAGTATGTGGGCTTGAGCTTGACTGCCTGAACTTGAATTCAGCATTCTCCATCCCGTAGCATCATGACCTTGGGCAAATCATGTAATTGTTTTGTTTTTGGGTTCCTTCATCTATAAAATGAGAATGCAAGTTGAGTAACAAGAAATGCTTGAGGCCAAAAGTGTTAAGACTTTTTTAAAATAATTTTGAAATATTTGCATGTACATAATGAGATATCTTGAGGGTAAGACCCAATTGTAAACACAAAATTCATTTATGTTTCATGTACACCTTGTACACATAGCCTGAATAGGATTTTATACAATATTTTAGTGCACCTGTATTTTGACTGTGACTCATCACGTGAGATCAGATGTGGAATGTTCCTCTTGGCATCACGTTGGCACTCCAAAAGTATCAGATTTTGGAACATTTTGGATTTTGGATTTTCAGATTAGGGATGCTCAACCCGTTATAGTTTAACCTACCTCACAGAGTTTTTGTAAAGATTAAATGTATTAATACATGTATACTTTAGAATAGCTTCTGGCACATGGCAAAAAGCTATGTAAGTGATTGCCATTATTGTTGTTACTATAACTATAATTGGTATTCTAACTTTGACTACTTTTTCTCTTCCTTCTCTTCTGTCAGGAAGATACCTGGCCAGTAAATCTTTGTTGAAGAAATGAAGGAATGCTGGAGCTTAACTAGTTGATCTGTGAAATAAAAACTTTAACTAGTTGATTTATGAAATAAAAACTTTAAAATTTATTTATTTATTTGAAAAAGACACATTTCTCTCTCTCTCTCTCTCTCTCTCTCTCTCTCTCTCTCTCTCACACACACACACACACACACACACTGATCAATCTTCCATCCACTGTTTCATTCCCTAAATGCTCACAACAACTGGAACTCCACCAAGCTTCAGCTTCAGCCAGGAGCCCAATTCTTAACCTGGGTCTCCCACCAAGGTGGCAGGGACCCAACTACTAGAGCCATCAGCATTGCCTTCCAGGGTATGCATTATTAGGAAGTTGGACCAGAAGCGGAGCTGGGCCTTGAACACAGGCACTCTGAGGTGGGATATGGGCTTCCCAAGTGATGTCCTAACTGCTGTTCCAAAACCTGCCTGGAAATGAAAATTTTTGAAAGTCCACTTTAGTGCTTGAAAAAATGAGATGGTGAAATTGATAAGTTATGAGATTGTTCATATATTTTTACCTTTTGTCTTCTATTTTCCGTGCAGGATTGAAGGCATTGAGCGACAGTACAGGAAGAAGTGTGCAAAGTAAGTATTAACTGTGGGCTTCTCTAGCATAGGCAAATAAAGTCTTAATGTGTTAGTATAATAATGATTTGGTTACAATTCTCTGTTAGATCTTACTTAAAATATTGACTACCTTCAAACTTCAATTATATAAATTCCAGTATGTTCCCTGAAGAGACCAACTGGCCATAAAAATGAATTTTTAGCATAGTATAGTTTTTTAAAAATTGAGATGTGATTTATATATAATAAAAGTTTACCACTTAGGTGTACAATTTGATGAATTTTGACAAAAGCATAGCTATGTAATGCCACCACCATCCTGATAGAAAACATCTCCAGTGCCCCTATGCCCTTTGCAGACAGTCCCCTTCCCCAACAGGCACTGATCTGCTTTCTTCACTATGGTATTGCCTTTCCTAAATTTTATGTAAATTCTACAATATGTGTTTCATAAAATATATCTTTTGTACCTGTTTTCTTTCACTTAGTAAAATGATTCTGAGATTCATCCAAGTTGTTATGCGTATTAATAATTTTTCCCTCTTTATTGCCAAGTAATATTCCATTATACCACAGTTTGTTTGCCCATTACCCCTTGAAGGGCATTTGAGTTGTTTCTAGATTTGGTTTTGGTTATCACCAATAAAACTGCCATGAACATTCTAGTATAAATCTTGATGGGAATATGTGTTTTCTCTTCAAGTGGAATTTATAGTCATATGGTAAGTAACACAGTATAATTCAATTCAGCCCTGTTTATAAAGCCTGTTATAAAATCATAGACTCAAGAAACTTAGTATAGAGAGTATTATTTTACAAAATACATACATAAATATCTATGCATGTGTGTGTGTGTATCTCCAGCTTTAGGCTCTTAATGGTGAGAATATTAAACTATAGCAAATTCAGTCTTATAGTTTCAGTTAGAATTTGACTCTTAAAAAACTGAGACTAGAAGAGTTAAAGCAGGGAAAATGGATAAAAAGGCATTTTAGCTGTCATTCACATTGGATTGATTACATTGGTTTTATTATGTCTTATAGGTCAACTTCAATTATAATAATGGTCAGCCAAGAAAAGTAACAATTACTGTAGGGATCTGTTTGCCAACCACTGCAGTAGAGCCTTTATATTTCCTCTTGACACCACAAAAACAAAACAGAAAAACCTAGAAAAATGCCCAAACTAATTACCCAGACACCTGGGAAGAATAGCAGTGGTTTTGGCTAAAAACGAAGTAGCATGAGCCAGAATCTCCCAAATTTGTCTGATGAAACAAGTCACTTGGAATACTGATTCAAATGACAAATTATCAGGTCCAGATATGCTGAATCAGTATCTTCTGGTGCGGGGCTAGGAATCTGATCAGCAGTGTAACAAGTACCCTAAGTGATTCTGGAAACATTCAGAAGAGCTGATCATTAGCTTATGCTGTAAACAAAAATATACCCAGGGTCTAAGCACACTTTGTGAATTGGTGTTTGGGGATTTGAGTTCTGGAGCCTCACAGAGATGTATTGCGGTATTTGCAGGTGTGGACTGCCACTCTTCTACCAGTCCCAGCCGAAGAATGCTCCTGTGACCTTCATTGTTGATGGAGCAGTCGTCAAGTTTGGCCAGGGTTTTGGGAAAACAAATATATATACCCAGAAACAAGAGCCTCCTAAGAAGGTAATTATTGGAGGAGACAAACTGCTTAATATAGCTACACATTTATTCCAGAATTTTTAGTTTATTTTTTAAACATATTAATTTTTATTTGAAGGGCAGGGAGGAAGACAGATCAATCTTCCATCTGCTGGTTCACTCCCCAAATGCCTATAACAGCCAGGGCTGGGCCAGGCTGAAGCCAGGAGCCTGGAACTCAATCTAGGTCTCCCATGTAGGTGGCAGGGACTCAATTACATGAGTCATCACCTGCTACCTTACAGGATGTGCATTAGCAGGAAGCTGGAATCAGAAGCAGAGCCAGGACTGAAAGCCAGGCATGCTGCTATGGGATGCAGTTGTCCCAGTGGCAACTTAACTGCTGTGACAAACACCTGCCCCGGATGTACTTGTTTTATTAATAAAATGTCATTTTTGTGTATAGACAGATGTTACAGAATTATAACACCTAGTATGTGTTCCTTTTTCTTTGCTACAGTTGCTTTGTAAAGTTAGAAATTGTATGGTTTTTATTCACATTTATTTCCTTCAAAATTTCTTCAGTGTGAAGAAATAAAAGCTGTTGAAATATTACTTATATATACTTATACTTTAAAGTACTTATAAAGGCTTGATGGCAAATGTTAGAAAATATAATGTGAATAAAAGCATTGATACTGTTAGTCCAGCCTGTCCCAAAGAGATAGTGCCACCAGCAACACACACACAGCCCTGCACATAGGCTTGAGTGGTGGCACACCCACTCACATGTGGCTCATAGATCCTCTTGTGGTGAACTAGACTGACTCTTCTTCCTGCTGCTCCAGGTGATGATGACCAAACGGACAAAAGACATGGGCAAGTTCAGCTCTGTCACTGTGTCTACCATTGATGAAGAGGAAGAGGAGATTGAGGCTGTAAGTGCTTCTAGTCTTAAGGGACTTGGGATGGTGGGTGGAGGAGGAGAGAGAACTGTGGACTTGGAATCTCCCGGTAGCAGAATAATTAGAGATGCTTTAGACCCTGCTCTGCTAGTAAGGAACTACATGACATTGGGGTAGTGCCTGTTTCCCTGGATCTCAGGGACATCTGTATAATGAGAATAAGGCAGTTAGATGTGATTTTTTTTCCCTCATATCATTTTTGAGCTGCCTTAGAGGGCAAAACCCACAACCTTCTATAATTTAAAAGCTGCTGGACTCAATGATTTCAGGTCCCTTCCACTTCAGCTCTGATGCTTTGTATGTCTGTCCTTAGCAGTAGCAGCAATTACCTTCATGGTCCTTCAGTATAATGATGTTAACAGAGGGAAGTGTTGTCTGTTATTTTAAAAGTGATTTTGGTTGAAATCTGAATTTTTTTGGATTGTTGAAAAGATGAAGAGTTCAAAGGGAACAGTCCTGCCTTTTCAGTAATGATTTCATGATTTGAATAGTATAAATTGCTACATGTGGCCCTTGTTGGTCTTCCTTGGTGATGCTTCTGGTTCTTTTTTCCTTCAGAGGGAAGTTGCTGACTCGTATGCACAGAATGCCAAAGTGATTGAAAAACAGCTAGAGCGCAAAGGCATGAGCAAGAGGCGGCTGCAAGAGCTGGTGAGTGGCCTGGGAGGACGGGTGCTGGGCTTGAGTGTTTGGGTTTCTTAGTCTGAGAGACCTTCCAGTGCGCAGGGAAACCCTTTAGGAAATCTGTTGAGGGTTGCTAGTGGAATTGGCTGCTGGCTTTCTAACCCTGGGCTGTGATCGTAGGTATACTTTACTCTGTTGTAGTCACCCCAGGATGTAGGCCCTAAATTATAATGATTGTTAGGTAGCCCTAAGTGGGATGATATATTTTAATCTGCTGCTTGTGGTCCAAGATCAGGAGTAAAAGGTCAGGCTGTCGCAGGATATAATGACATATGACAGTACTACTCTGGTGATATTGGGAGTGCAGCTGGTCATGCCTTCTTAAAGCACCAGTGGTTTTCTGCATTATTCATAGGCTCATCTAGGATGTCTGTTTATATGTGATAGGGCCTGCATTTTTGTTTTTTAAGTAGTAATTTACTGAAAATCAGACATTACTTCATTGATGCCTCATAAAAGGGGATACTGATCTCTCCTAATGACTGTGCTACATTTTTTTAATTTATTTTTCCCCCCAAAGAAACCTTTTATTTAAGGAATACAGACTTCATGCATTTCATAAGTACAACTTTAGGAATATAGTGATTCTTCTCACCATACCCGCCCTTCCACCCCTCATCCTCCTCCCTCTCCCATTCCCAGTCCCATTCTCCACTGAGATCCATTTTCAATTAACTTTATACACAGAAGACCGACTATATACTAAGTAAAGAGTTCAACAATTTTGTGCTACATTTTTTTGTGACAGAAGTGTAGGAGCCTCGGAGCTACTTCCTTACCATAGTGGTCTAGAGCAGTGCTTTTCAAACTTTTGAAGGTAGAAGTCAATTGCAGTTTGTTATAAACAGATTTGTAATTCGTAAAACACACCAAGAATGAGTTGGCCCCAATTTTTATTATTCAATTATTTTATTATTACTCTGTCAAGTTAGTATAAAAGTTTCCAAATGCTAGCTCTCAATTTTTTTACTTATCTTTCATGGACTGATAACAGTTCCTGGACCTCGCAACTTTAAGTTGCATTGTTCTAGAATGGTGTTTTGCTTTCTGTCCTGCCAAGAATAGGATTACTGGTATGCCATGAAATTGATTGTCTCAGCCTTAAGAACTCTGGGATACTTGCAGTGATTGTCTTGGCCCACAAATGTGTATATTTACCTCCTTTGCCTACAAATATCATTTTCTGCATGTGCTGTAATATCAGAAAGATTAGAAAGCAGTTATTAGAGATGCACTATGATTTTAGAACCACTATGCTAGTTTGTACATTAAGTTGTGCTTTAGGGTGATTAGAATAAGGAAGGAAAATAAGAATTTCATGTTCCATATCAAGACATGCACTTTTTTCCATTTTAGGCTGAATTGGAAGCCAAAAAAGCAAAAATGAAGGGGACGTTGATTGACAACCAGTTCAAATGATGAGGACCTTTCTCTGAGCCAAGGCTGGAGGCAAGCATTTAGAATAGAGAGAAAAATAACTTCTTGGTTACATGGACTGGTTCCTATTTATGCTCTGCCAGCAGGCTTTACATTGCTTTCCACTGATTGTCCTGTGTTCATTAAGGTCTATAACTGAGTCCATTTGACCTGCTTTGTAAATTTTTCTAAGTCTTTTTGTATATAGGCTTTCTGTACTATCTTTTGCTCATTTGATGTCAACTTCTTCAGCTGTGTAGAAAGTTTATGAATAGATTAGTGCTTGAATGTCCCTAGTTTATAAAATGACTTTTTATTCCTTCCCCAAAAATAATAAAATGTTTAAATATTTTTTTGAAAAAAAAAAAGTATCGTGATATGTCTTAGAGGAAAGTGGTGTGAATTTGCAAAGTCACAGCATCTCAGGTCCTTTTAAGTGACTCTGTTTCTGTACTTAGAATTGGCTATGGTTTGAGTCTTTCTGCTGTCAGAGGAGAGCTATTAAAAGCTAAAATCTGTATAATGTTTCCTTTCCTTCAAACATTAAAGCTATGGATGAGCCATACCATATAAGACTTTATAGTAAAATGAAGAAAAGCCAGATTGCTGTAGGAGAGGGAGGATAACTTAGATCTGAACCAATGTAGGGTCTCAATAAGTAACCCAAGGTAGCTACCATCTGGTCAGGCAGCTAAGAAAACTGCTCCCCATTGTGGGTATATGGGAGGGAGACATAGACTAAAAAATGATACTGAGGGGCTGGCATTGTGGCACAGCAGGTTAAGCCACCACCTGTGGTGCCAGCATCCCATATGAGCACCAGTTCAAGTCCTTGGCTGTTCCACTTAGGATCCAGCTCCATACTAATGCACCTCAGAAAGCAGTGGAAGATGGCCCAAGTACTTGGCCCCTGCTACCCACTTGGGAGACTCAGATGGAGTTTCAGGTTCCCGGCTTCAGCCTTGCCCAGCCCCGACCATTACAGCTATTTGGGTAGTGAACCAGCAGATAGATGACCTCTCTCCCTCTCTCCTTTCTCTGTGACTCTGCCTTAACAGAAAGAGGTGATACTGAGATAAACAGAGTTATCTGTTGGATATCTTTTACTTCATATTGGCTATTTTATATATATATATATATACATATATATAAATTTTATGTCACATTGCTTCAGTGATATCAATATCCATGGGGTGGGGTTGCTGGGAAGGTCCAGGGTGGGCCTATGTTACTATCTTCCCAGTTATTCTCCTGCATCCAATATGATATTTGTGACTGAGTCTTCTTCTTCACCCCGTTTTCTGTTGTCATTCTGAGAGATAATTAAGCATCATGTCGATTCCAGCCAGCTATAACTTACTCACTCTTCCTTAACCTCAGTTCCAGACAATGACCTTTACTGTTACTCCACTGTAGCTACAAACTCCTACCACTTCAGAAATCCAGTATTCTGTTCTCTGACCACAGCCTCCTATTGTTGCTACTCTCAGCACTCCTTTCCTCTAAACCTATTTTGTGTTTTTATTTGAAGGGTGATTATTGTATTGGTAGTAATAATGAAAAATCATGGTAGTAATAGCAACAATAATATTAGCTGCTTTTAATGGAGTATTTACTATGTGTCTGGTGCTGTGGAAAGCGTTTTACAAGCATAATCTTAATCCAAATAACATGATAATCCTTTGGGATAGATTTAACTGCTACAATTCTCAGTTTATAAATGAGTACTCTAAGTCTCAGAGAATTTGTTTCCTAAGATCCTGTAGCCAATAAGTGAGGAAGCCAAAAGTCTGACTATAGAACCTGAACTTGTAACTGCTTCGCTAAACTGCTTCTCTTGTGAAGTTACAAAAAAGTGTGTGTGTGTGTGTGTGTGTGTGTGTGTGTGTGTATAATTGAGAACAGATCATAGTTTTATTTTGAGAAAGTAAAATGCAATGTAAAGACATTTACATAAGAGGGTTCCCTGTAGCAAATATGTGGTTATGTTTCTATTTCTGAACTCTCTGTCCTTAGGTACTAATCCTAAACCATTTCAACATCTGTTTCAAATCATGCATTTTGCTTCATCTAGAAAACCATAAAACATTATGTCATTAACACCAAGCAAGCATATGCTCTCCATTATGTTTTATTCTTTCATAATGAAATAGTTATAAAACAACATGACATAGTTTCTCTATTAATTTATAGGATTTCAGTAGCAAATACACTGTTTTAATGGTAGTATAAAGAGCCATATTGAAATTTGGGGGAGTCTTTTATAAATTTTCAACTGTGACAAAATATTAAATGTTGTAAAATATTCCCAACTATAATAATTGGTGACATTTGGAAGTATAACTTTATTGTTTAAGAGAAATTGAAAAGCTGTTCAAAGATTAGCTTGTCATGCCTATCTTTTTTTTTTAGATTGATTTATTTATTTGAAGGAATTACAGACAGAGAGGGAGAGACAGAGACAAAGACAGAGAGATCTTCCATCTGCTGGTTCACTCCCCAAATGGCCACAAGGGCCAGAGCTGGGCCAGGTGGCAGCCAGGAGCCAGGAAGCTTCATCTGGGCCTCCCACATGGGTGCAGCGTCCCAGAGACTTGGACCATCTTCTACTGCTATCCCAGGCTATAGCAGAGAGCTGGATGGGAAGTGGAGCAGCTGGGACTCAAACTGATGACCATAGGATGCCAGCACAGCTAATGGCAGCTTAACCTATTATGCCACAGCACTGGCCCCGCTTGTTACGCCTTAGGATCCTTATTAACATGGACCATGTTTGTTGCGGTTGATTTCTCAACAATGTTGCAGTGGATTCGTTTCTGAGAGGAGGTGCCTGGTGGGGGCAAGAGGCGCGGAGTCACCACACAGATCCCGGGAGTTGGGTGAAAGCGGGCTTGAGGCAAGCAGCCCGCAGACTCGTTTATTTCAGTTGGTACATCTTATATAGTCAAGACCAGCTGATCCGGTCAAGGGGCGGTCTATGCCCCAACCAATCACAGCCTGTTGCCAGGCAGTTTCCAAAGCCATCCAATCACAGCCTGTTGCCAGGCAGGCTCCGTTGCCAGGTGGGATTCAAAGCCATCCAATCACAGCCTGTTGCCATGCAGGCTCCGTTGCCAGGTGGGATTCAAAGCCATCCCTGAATAACTGACACTCACTTGCCAGCGGCCACCTTGGCATGGCCTTCTCATTCCACCACACATGTTTCTTTAGTCTCCTGTGATTTGTAACATTTTCTCAGGGGTATCTTGTGATTTTAATTTGCATTTCCTTAATGACAAATGATGTTGAACATATTGAGGTTTTTTCCTTATGGAAAAGTACACCTAACATTTACCATATTAACTGTTTTTAATTGTGCAGCTTAGTAGTGTTAAGTATATTAACATTGCTGTGATACAGTTCTCCAGAACTTTTGTATCTTGTAAATTTAAAACTCTGTGTCCATTAACAACAACTTTGCTTTTCCCCTGCCATCCAACCTGTGGGAACCACCATTGTACTTTGTGTTTCTTTGAATTTCTCTACTTTAGATACCTCATGTAAGTGGAATCATAATAGCATTTATCTTTGTTGTGACTAGATTATTTCATTTAGCACAATGTCCTCAATGTTCATCCATGTTATGATATGTGACAGTATCTTCTTCCTTTTGAAGATGGAGTAGTAATATTCTGTTCTTTATGTATATCACATTTTGGTTATTCATTCGTCTGTCAAGGGACATCTGTGTTACTTCCACCGCTTGGCGTTGAGGATGGTACTGGAATGAACATGAGTATGCAGATACCTCTTTGAGATCCTGATTTCAGTTCTTTTGGGTAAATATCCAGAAGTGGGTTTTCTATTTTTAATTCTTTGAGGTTTTCCCGTTTTGTAATCCTCTCAACAGTGCAAAGGATTTAAATTTCTCCACATCCTCACTAATGCTTATTACTTTCTGATTTTGGGTGGTTAGTAGGTATCCTAAAGGGTGTGAGGTGATACCTCATTATAGTTGCGGTTTGTATTTCTCTAAAATACAAGATGTTGAGCATCTTCTCATATCTTGTTGGCTATTTATACATCATTTTTAGGAAAATGCCTATTCAAATCCTTTGCTTGTTTTTAAATTAAGTTATATAATAATATAATTATTGGGGTTTTTAAAAAATTTTATTTATTTGAAAGGCGGAGTTACAGAGAGGCAGAGGTAAAGGCAGAGAGAGAGATAGATAGATATTCCATTCACTTGCTTATTCCCCAGATGGCTGCATCGGAGCTGGGCCATTCTGAAGCCAGGAGCCAGGAGCTTCTTCTGGGTCTCCCATGCAGGTGCAGGGGCTCAAGGACTTGGGTCATCTTCTACTGTTTTCCCAGGCCATAGAAGAGAGCTGGATGGGAAGTGGAGCAGCTGGGACTTGAACCAGCGCCCATATGGGATGCTGGCACTGCAGATGGTGATACTGCAGACGGATGTCGTCTTTACCCTCTACGCCACAGCACAGGCCCCTATAATTTTTGTTGGAAACATTTTTATGCCAGTTTTTCATCTGTATATCTTCTTAGCTAGAATGTTCAGTTCTTCTACCCAATTTTAAAAACTGTAATTTTTTATTTTATATATTTGAAAGAGAGAAAGATTTCCTATCCACTGGTTCACTGTCTAAATGTCCACAATAGTTGGGGCTGGGCCAGGCCAAAGCCATGAGTCCAGAACTCAATCTGGGTTTCCCACATGGGTGACAGGGACCCAAGTCTTTGAGCCATCCTCTGCTGCCTCCCATGGTATGTATTAGCAGGAAGCTGGAGTTGGGAGTAAGCTGGAACTTGAACCCAGACATTCTGTTTTTATTTTTAAGATTTTTTTTAAAGATTATTTATTTATTTGAGAGAGAGAGAAAGGTCTTTCATCAGTTGTTTCACTCCCCAGATGGCCGCAATGGCCAGAGCTGGGCCAGTCTGAAGCCAGAAGCTAGGAGCTTCTTCTGGGTCTCCCACACGGGTGTAAGGGCCCAAGGACTTGGGCCATCTTCTACTGCTTTCCCAGGCCATAGCAGAGAGCTGGACTGGAAGTGGAGCAGCTGGGACTTGAACCCATATGGGATTCTGGCAGTATAGGCGGCAGTTTTACCCACTACATCACAGTGCCAGCTCCTAAGATTTATTTTTCATTTATTTGAAAGACAGAGTTACAGAGAGGCAGAGAGAAAGAGGTCTTCCATCCACTGGTTCACTCCCCAAATGGCTGCAACAGCTGGAGCTGGCCTGATCCAAAGCCAGGAGTCTAGACCTTCTTCCACATCTCCCAT